CCCCCGAAATAGGTGCCATGGGGATTGTTATCGTAGTCGATTTCACAGGTAACAGCCATAGTTGTAATTGTAACCGTAATTGTGCTTTTATGGGCCGATCCACCTCTGTTGCCGCTGCAAACACAACTGATTGGATTTTAATGCCAATGTTCAGTTATTTACTCCCGAACTTCCGAGAACTGGGCTGCGATTATACCCACATGCCCACTTGGCTGCCAGAAACGAACTGAGAATAAAAAAATCATTGCGATGGTTCTTTTTGTTGGTAACGATGGCCAGGCCAACTTTTATCTTATCGCTGTCACAACTTTGAATTATACATTTCGCAAAGTGCAGCCAAGCCACAAATAGCCTCCATAGAACAGGGAAAAGCCCAAGGATTTTTTTATCACTCTCAATTTCAAATTGTTTTTCTCGGCATCCTTCATTTTTTTTCCTCTTTGTCCTTCTTGGCTTCGGTTTGAGGTGGCACTTCAAAGACCGGATATAGAGGCGAATAGGACTTCTCAACCAGATCCCTTGGTTCTGGCTGCCCTTGTCTGGGCTTCTCCGGATCAGGATGCATATGCATGGCCTCAGCATAACTGGGTGGTGCTGAAGATATCTTAAAAAAATAAGCACACTTTCAGGAAAAATACGTTTTAAAGTTAACTCACATAGAACGGAGCCATCTGACCACGGGTATGGAGGAGCAGCTGGTGCACATGCACCTTCACCTTCAATCAGAGTCAAAGTACTCTGATCCGTAGAACTATCTGGTATATATTGTCCCATTGGCGGCGCTATCGGAACCCCACAAATAGTAACTGGCAGTACCAGAGTTCCGTTAACATGCATGCCCTTGACCTTGGCCACAACTTCGATCTGGTATCCGATCTTAATTATGCGGCACAGGTGGAAACATGAAGGCGGAGTGGAGGGAATTGGCAGTTGAAAGTCGTACATTTTCCGGGAATTCCTCATGACCCCATCTGCCTTCAGCTTGGCCACGGACTTGCGCTCACTGTTCACGCCTGAGCTCAGGTCACTGTAGTAGGTGATCATCATGGCCAGGGCGACCTTTACTTCGTACACCCGGATTTTGCTTTCATTACCCACCAACACATTCACGGGGACCGTCTGTCCGGGCACAAAACCAGTCTGCGGCAAATTTAACTCCAAGGTCAGCGGATCCGAGCGGAACGGCCACACCCCAAAGGTCTTTTCAGTCCTGGCCTGCACGGGAACCTAATCAAGGAAAAATATCTATATAGAATACGTATTAATAGATGTGACCTACATTCCCTTTGGATATTCCCCAAACGACTAAATTGCTGAGGTTTTGAAACATTTTTAATGATTTAACACTGATTCCAACATGAAAATAATCACCAAATATATGTAATTAAAAAAGTTTAGACAGTTCATTGATTGTTAATGAATCCCATAGCATGTCCTTTTGCTGTTACTATGCATTTTTCCGAACTTAAGACAAACGAAACTAGTGCAATTGACAAACAGTTGCTGTAACGGCTGTTTGATGAAACAGCTATTTGAAAAGTTTTAGCAGGAAACATTTGAAGCCGATTTTTTGCAATTCAGAGATTTAGTCGTTTGGGAAATAGCAAAACTGTGTTACTAAATTGACCTATATCTTGCAAAATGAATGAAAGTAATATAATCTTGCCACAAACAAAGTTAAAAAAAATGAGTTTTCTGTTTAAACCCCATTTCCAACAGGCGTACGAATTTATGTTTTTTTAGCATGAACATTTTCCTTGCCAGATTCGGGTTCAGAGTACAATAATATATGTGTGAAATTTCACACAACATTAAAACAATAACACTGGCTTACAAAATGTAGATCGACCAAATCCCCCAGAGATCAAACCTTGATTTTCAAGTGTAGTTTGACTCCGTGGTTCAGAAAATGTCACCTACAATTATTTGTAATTTTTACCGTTTCTAACCTGTTTTCATGCCTATTTCATTTTTGGTCTCCAGGTCTGCTTAACGGAATTCGGTCATCAAAAGCTAAGAAATATACAGTTATATCACTGTAGTCCAGGGGTGCTCACCTATGCCCTTGGAGCACAATTGTTTTTGTTAATACACATGCTTAAGGAGATGTGGGAGCCGGCAAAGTATGAAAATGGTGCTAACACTAAAGATCCGACAGCATAAATTAATATTTTAAAAATACACTTCTAAAACAAGAAAATAATTGTATCGCTTTTTCTTGAAGAAGGAACATTAACGAAGCCAAATCCGTATAAAATGGTTTTACCGGCAGAGTGTTAAGGTTAATAACTTTTTGGCTTCCTTAATGCTTAAATCAAGGTTTGATCTCTGAGGGATTTTGTCGATTTGAATTTGTAAGCCAGTGTAATTTGTTTAAGGAATATGCTTATAAATTCGTCAAATATGTCCTATGAACCCACCTGAGAAACACCCTGATATGTGTTTATGTCCATTACTTGGATTACAGTGAACGCTCTTGAAAAAAGACTGTCGTACTTCCAGGGCTGTATTATATTGACATTCACACTATAACATATGCGACCATGAGTTCCCTCGAACGAGGAGGGACAGTTGATTGGAATTTGACAAGCAAAATTATATGCTCTGGTTCCGGGCTCTAAGGCCATTTCTGAAATGATGACATAAGTTGGCTTTAATACTAATAATAAATTGTTAAGTATCAAAATAGTTTTACCAGTGCTTGTTTCAGAGCCCAACAGATAAACTTTACTGGAAAGGTATTTCTCAAATCCATTATACGATTCTGAAGTGGATTTATTGTTCGAATCAGTCTTACTTTCGGTCCAGTGCGTCTCGGCATATCCTTTAAGCTTAAGCCTGATTGCTAGGAAAGTGAGAAATTGAAGGGAATCATTAGAGTAACCTAATAGTATAGTATAGTTCACTTTAGCAAAAACGAATCGCCACCAATCTCAACCACTTCACATTGGTTCAATAGGGGCACTTACCTTTAATTTGAATCAACTTATCCGTACTCAGATTCACTTGGCCAGAAATCGTTTGTCCCGCGTAGAAGACTCCATGCACATTGTTGTGGAAAATAATTTGGCAAATAATTCCCATGATTTTTTGTAACGGCAGACACTGCGAGTTGACTTTATTTCGTTCGCTCTCGTCGTTGTTGAGCTGTTTCCACTTTAATGGTCACAAGCTAACTGAACCAAAAAGGCTTTTATCTGTTTTTTTGTGCTTGATTTGCTAAAGTTTGATTTATCTTATCAGTACAAGCATAAAAATAATTTTTTTTAAAAAAACCCCATTTAATTTCTTTACATAAAGGGTTTGATAGGTAGCCCCCAAACGTGTGGGCCATCTTATAAGTGATATTAATGAAAACAGCTGATGGCCAATTTTCAGGCTAAAAACCAAAACCCCCTTGCTGTAATTTAAAGCTCACGGACTTAAAAAGAGCACTTGCCCTCAACTTGAATCGATATTTCTACTCCAGCTCTCAGTTGCACCTGTTTCGATAAGATATCGTACAAATCAACCAAATACTGCTCACGGAGGACATTAACCTTAAACCCTTGTTATGGGCCAGATCGACCCAACAAACTTTTTTCATGTAAATTACGCATACATAAAAACTAAAATATGCCGAATGACTGGTAGGTTTAGTAATTCTGGTCGATTTGCGCATGTGTTTTTATATTGGGACTGAATGGTATAGTGCGAGGACTAGTTTTCACAACAATCCATCAATAAGCAGGGAATACACCAAAAGCAACATTCTCATTACCAACACACCGATCATTAGTTCAGCAAAGCGTAGATCATAATACTTTGAATTAATTGTTCTAAATATTGAGCACAGAAAAATGTATCTTAAGTCGTTATATGTCAAAATTTGATGAAATATAGCGATTTACATGTAAAATGCCTAGGGTGTGATCGAAAACACGGGAATGTGTTGAAATTGAAAGTTAACACAGTCCGCGTCCAGGAAGAAATAAATTAGTTATCCATTTGTTTTTGATTTATTTGAAACAATGAAAAACAAGAAAGAAAGCAAACTTCGGCAAGCCGAAGTTCATATACCCTTGCAGCTATTGCAAGGGTTAAACATTTTTGAAAACATTAAAATTATGATTTACTTGCGTATATGTTTAAAAACATTGAAGCTATGACGATTTGCAGCTTAATTATTTGATAGTTCCTATGGCAGCTATATGATATCGTTTTTCGATTTTAATAAAATTAAAAGCGTAATTCTAAACTGTCAAATTATTAATAAGTCTAAAGGGATTTAAAAATAAAACTACAAAATAGAAACGTTACATTTAAAAAAAAATTTTTATATATTTTTAATGTTTCTATTGGTTGATTTTGATGAAATTTATACCGTAATTCTGAAATAATTAACCAATACTATATGTCGAAGAGCTAAAAAAAAAATAAAAAACAGCAGGTTATAATTTTTTTTTATTTTTTTCCGATTGTTCTAATGGGAGCTATATGCTATAGTCGTCCGATCCGGCTCGTTCCTACTTATATATATCATTTTATTTAAATCGAAAAACGTTCGAAGAATTGGGCTAAAAATCAATGATTCTAATATTTAGTGCTTTTTAGCATATACGCAAATAAACCAAAATTTAAATGTATTCAATAATATTTCATTTTTAATAAACTTCGGCTTGCCGAAGTTAGTTTCCGTTCTTGTTTTTTATATTGTAAGAAACTAAAACTAAACTAAAACTCCCCGCAAAAATATATTATTTGGAACAGAAGCTGACATTTTTGTTTAATTTTCAGGGAAATCGAAAATACTCAAAAATAAAGGCTAGTGATGACACTCCAAAATGCCAGTGCTGCCAGATCAAAAACCATACCTATTAAACAAGACGTCTGTAATCGAAAACGCTCGAACTTATTTTAACACCTAATGTCAAAGCCAAAGAGCTGTATTAAGCTGTATATGTTTATTCGGTAAATATCTATTCACTCATAAAAATAATTTTACAAATGATGGCGTATATGTTTGTGATAATCACATTGTGATGGCGGAACATAAAACACGAATATTTTTGCAGGTTATTGGTTAGCTGAGTAGCGGATATGTGATAGACCGGCACTCGGCTTAAGCGTTCCTTCTTGTTTTTTTTTTTTTATTAATTTTAAAGCCATGTGCTTTTGTCTATTGCGTCATTGACATATCCACTATCAGTCCTGTTTTTATTAGGTCTCACAATTATATCTTCCATCTCGTTCGAGAGATCAAAGACCCCGTACAAAGGAGTAAATACAATTTCTTCCCGATTTTTCTCTTGTGGCCTTCTTTTCTGAGACTTCTTTTTTGGTTTTAAGAACATCTGTGGATCCGGACTGATGTGTTTGGCCTCAGCATAGGTCGGCGGGGCTATAAAAGAAAACGATCACTGTTAAGTAAACTTAAACTTTCAATTCTTTCTTGATTTTTTTGAGAAAAAAAAACTTAAGGAATAATAAACAAGTTAAAAAAAAACATTATATTATTCCAGATTTTAAATATATATTTCTTAATTTAACAAGTTTGTTTGTATCGTCAAACAAAAAAAGATTTAAGCTTACCAATAGAAGGATCTGAAGACCAAGGGCTGGGAGGGCTGTGAGGTTCTTCAGCCTGTTCGTTAGCGATTAAAATCAATGCTTTGGCATCCTGTTGCTGAGGCAGTAGGTCTGCACCCCAAAATCTTGGCTCTTTCTGCAATATCTTCGTTAGCGGGACACTTCCAATGGTTATGGGCATGTGAAGCGACTGACTGCCATGGCAACCTTTGACCCTGGCCTCCGCTTCCACCTGATAGCCGATCTGAATGATGCTGCACAGGTCGAAGCAGGTTGGCGGTGTTGCCGGCACCTTAAGATCGAAGGTGAGCTGCTTTCGGCATTTGGACGACACGCCCTCGCCTGTTTTCAGGACCATCACGAAATGATCCTTGTTTGTGTCCACGCAGGGGGGTTGACTGTAGTAGATCACCACCATGGCCAGTTTCACGGTTATATCCTCCACAGGTACACCACTGTCGTTGGAGACCATTATTTCCACCGGTACAGTCTGTCCTGGCACAAAGCCACCCCGCGGCAAAGAGAGGCACATACTGAGTGGGGCCGACCGGCAGGGAAAGCAGCAGAAAGTGCGCTGTGACTCCACTTGGGTGGGTACCTGAAATAACAGAAAAATACCTTGAGTAAAACTCCTAAAACTCCCTAAATATAAAGGTTCGAATCATTTCTAAAAAAAAAACCCATTTTTATATTCTTGTATATGGTTTTATAGTTTCAGTCAAATGTTTGCAACCCATTACTTGGAGAGTTGATCTAGCCATCTTTGCCAAAAGTGTTCTCCAAGAAATAAATTTTCCATATTAAGCAATTAAACCAGATACTCGTTAGTCACAGTTCTCCAGCTTAAGTGCTACAGTTAGTTTAAGCTTTATTTTTTAGCTAAACAAAGGGAAGTAATCGACCTGATGACCGAAAAACTTACCCTCAACATCAGACTTTGAGAGTTTAGGTCCATCACTTTGAGTACGGTGAAACATCGGCTGAAGTTCTGGTCGAATTTCCACGGTCGCACGAACCTCACGTTCACCAGGTAACGTATTTGACCAAGAGTTCCCTCAAACGAGGATGGACATGTGATGGGCAACTGGCAGGCGAATCTGTGCTTGCTGGTGCCGGGCTCAATAACGACCTCTGAAATGGAGCTTTGATTTCGTTATCTCTTGATTTATGGTTATTTATCGTCTTGGAACAGACCTATGCTGGAACTAGACCCGTGCAGATATGCCTTAGTTGCTAGGTAGTCCACATGTCCGTTGAATGATTCACCGTTCGACTGATCCTCGGGATCGTGTTCGGTATCAGTCCAATGGGTTTCGGCGTATCCTTTGATTTGGAGGACCACAGCTGAATGCAAAAATACTTTTACAGTTTACCATCTATTTTTAGCACTTGCAAAGCATGCACTTCAAATCCAATTAACACTGTCCGCAAATAAAGTTCCCCTTGATAAAGCTATCGAATAGGAATGATTCAGCGTCTTACCTTTAACTGGTTTCGCCTTGTCAGTTTTGATTACCACCTGTCCTGATATCAGCTGGCCTGCATAGAAAACCCCCTGGGGGTTATTGCAAAATTCAATCTCACAGAATACCATTGTTTGGATTGATTTTAATGATAATCCCGGAGCTTGTTAACTTTTGCCCTGTCTGCGGCGTGTCTCCCAGCGAACTGAAGTCACCCACTGGGTTTGATTTTATTTTATTTATATTTTTGTGTAGTATTTATTTGGCCAACATTTTTATTTTATCTTATCAATGCGATAGGTATTTATGTATTTAAACACAAATTTGTACCATTGCTATCGAAGTATTTACATATGTAAGTGACAACGACAGCAGATATATGAGTTTTGCAGGCAGGCAGAAGTGATCGATGAGGGACAAGTGCTCAAGGTTGAGATAGCATTTGTAAAACTATGCAACTAGGAGAGGTACTTTGACGTTTAGCTACTGTATTTGCATAATTATATCTATGGAGTTTTTTCACTCAACTCTCCGCGTTGCCAACTATCCGTCATTCATTGCACTCATTATGGATGGAAAACAATGCTGTGGGTTTTGTAGAGAGTTAAGGCGATAAGATAAGACCGACCAATGGCAAATATTTGGTAAGAGAGTCTAGGCCCAGTTAACAATGCAGATAGCTTCAGTTCCCATTCGGCAGCAACCGCGCGCGGACGCTCGCAAAAATAATAACTCCGGCGAGGGCGTCCTCTTTACTGATTCACCATCATGTCGAAAAACTGCATGATAACGTTCGACCAGAATGAGCACGGCACCTACTTCACCGGCCAGGTGATTACCGGCAAAGTGATCGTCAATCTGACCAAGGCCAAGAAACTGCGCGGTACGTAAGCCCAACTTGGATACCCAGAAATCTATATCCAGGGGCGAACGCTTATCTAGTGTGGCGTATCTTATCGCATCGGATAATGTCGACAGTTTGGCAAAACCGAAATTTTTAACCATTAAAACGGATAATTTAGTGATAGCATGCGGACACTCTAAATGTGCGATAATTGATGGTTTCTGGAGCTCAGCGTCATAAATAATTTTCCTTACTTATGTTAGGGGATCTACACAAGTGATTGAATTTTGTTTCGAGGAAATACCGGTGGAATTAGTCACGGTGTTTGTTTATTTAACAATTGTGAACCTGCTGAAGCGGGTAAAGTTTATTATTAAGTTTTAGTTATCTTCCTGGCGCAGCGAAATTTCACGTCAATAGTGTTGAAACCTAACTGCTATGTACCAACAGAATTTTTGTAAATAACATTTAATTCATTTTAGACTGATTTATTCACTATTTTTTGGAAAATCGGACCAAACTGGTTCCGCGTTATGGTTTTATCTTATCTTAATATTAGACCTACCATGATAGGCACCAAGCTTTAAGTATATCAGAATTATAATCTCAGTTTGCAAAAAGATAAACAAAATGTAATCATTTTTTATGAGCTTGCTCGTTCTTTTTATACCCGTTACTCGTAAAATAAAAGGGTATATTGAATTCGTTGAAAAGTATGTAACAGGTAAAAGGAAGCGCTTTCGACCATATAAAGTATATATACTCTTGATCAGGATCAATAGCCGAGTCGATCTAGCCATGTCCGTCTGTCTGTCCGTCTGTATGAACGTCGAGATCTCGGAAACTATAAAAGCTAGAGATTTGGAACTTGGCATGCAGATTCTAGTATGTATGTAGTTCCTAAGCAGTCCAAGTTTATTTCAAAACGGAGCCACGCCCGTTCTAACTCCCACAAATTGTGAAAGTGTGTACTGTCACTCTGAGACATGATAGACAGTTGTTGTGTGTGCGTTTCGGACATATCTATCCGTAGACCCAAAAATTTTCAAAGTCGAGCATTTATTTTAGGAGTAATGGGGCTAATTAAGTTCTCTGCCGCCCCTCTGCCGCTGCTTAGCCACTGATGTGCCGCTGTTCTGCCTCTGTTAGTCGATAAGAGAGAGAGAAAGAGAGAGAGAGAGAGAGAGAGAGAGAGAGAATTACAGAACTGTAAGCGGGGTGCTGCACTCTCTTAGCTCTTAGTATTGGCTATGCAGTCCGATAGATGGCGCCACCTAAACTTTGATTGTTTTGTGAAATACTTAGGTTTGAAGAGAATTTTGTTGGCTGAATAACGGGTATCTAATTGTCGGGGAACTCAACTATAGCGTTCTTTCTTGTTTGTACTAGAAATGACTATCTTAACCTATATTTATATGTGTTACTAACATCGAAGATAAAAAAATTTTAAATAAATAACTCGGGTAAAACAGAAATATCTCTTTTGGGCCTACTTCCCTTACCGACATTTTAATTCTTCGAGTTTCGTAGGAATCAAACTGGAGATCAGTGGCTATGCACAGGCACAGTGGAGACTCCGCAGAAATGGCCGGGCGATGGCCATCCAAAACTCCAAGAAGCGATCGAAGCACCAGTACAGCGGACGGGAGGACTACATAGCCTCCACCACTTACCTAATGGGCTCCGAGCAGGGCAGTACCTTCAGCATGGACGCTGGCACGTACACCTACACTTTTGCCTGCCCCATTCCCAGTCACTGTCCCTCGTCCTTTGAGGGTGCCTTCGGCCATATCCGGTACCTGGCCAAGGTCACCTTCCTTAAGCCGGGCGCCTCCAATCGCACCCACAACGTGGGCTTCACGGTGCTGAAGCTTCTAGACCTCAACCAGGAGAGCAAGATGCTTCGCGAGCCGGCGAGCAACGAAGCCGTGGAGTACTTCTGCCTAATGCACACGAAGCCCGTGGAGCTGAAGGTCACTCTGCAGCAGCAGGGCTACGTCCCCGGTCAGTTTTTGCTGGTCCACGCCCAGGTGCGTAATGAGTCCAGCTCCGACTGCCGGAAACTACTGATCATGCTGCACCTGCGGGCTACCTACACGGCGGACCAGCCGTCTCTCCGCACGACCTCCGAGAAGATAATGCTGGTGAAGCGCGAGTGCGGACCAGTGGCTCACCATGGCCAGAGGACCTACACGGAATCCCTGAGGATCCCAGCCACGGCACCCACCTGCGAGCACCTGAGCAAGGTGGTGCGCGTATCCTACGAAGTGCGTGTGGTGGCTGTGATGAACTGGTTGATGGCCAACCCGCGGGTGATCATCCCCATAACTATAGGAAATGTGCCGCTGGCCACTGCGGCCTCGGGACCGGACTTCCTGCCAGCCAACGCCTATGCCGCCGAAATTGGAAGCCCGCTGCCCTCCGATTTGCCGTGCACCTCCACAAGAGCCATGGAACTGGCTCAGATGTCCAGCAGCGGGGTGAGCAACTCCGGCTACGAGGTAAGCGAGGATCTTGAGGACTTCGAGCTGCCGGAGGACGGAGACGATGAGCAGGAGGCGAGCGACGAGTTCGTGTCAGACTTACGTGAGTACAAGGGTAGTGCTATGTTATATAAAACACATGTCCAAAAGAATTTCTTTTATTCTTATATTACTAAGCTAAGTATGTCGGACATTTATAGTGCTAGGTTGTGCATGCACTCGATTTTATAAAACTGTTTCTTAAACAATGAAAATGAGTTCAATAGTAAACAAAAAGTTCGTAAGAATTATAAACACATGGTTTGGCTTGTAAGCATTGACGAATGTTTGTCAATTATTGTTTGCGAAACTGTTAATCTTACGATACCTGCACGTTAGATTTATATTTTCCAAAATTAAAAGTCTTAATCGTAATTTGAAACCATTTTCTTTTGGAGTCGCGTAAATTAATTTTTTTCACATTTTTTAATTTTTTTTTTTTTTTTGATAAAGCTTATAAAAAATATTGCTGAGTATCTTAATGTATCGTCTCTTACTAATTTTCCACAGCTCCCCCTACGTACGAACAAGCCATGTTTATGACCGCTGATATAGCGGACACAGACGCAAACACCGTCAGCGCGTCTTCCCGGTTTACACCGCGCTACCCGGTTTTCGATGTGGACACCTTCCAAAACCCCCCGCCTAATCCTCCGCAAAAGAAGAGGCGCCGCCGCCGGAGACGACCCGCCGATCCTGGACAGTCGAAGCAGCGTCCGGAGAAACAGCCCATGGAGTCACCCGTGCAAATCTGAGTCCTCTATCGCTTTAAATTCGACTTTATCTTATCTCGGCAGTATTTATTTCTTTTTTGGTTTGCCAGTCTACTAACCAAATGATAGTATATATATCTACACATACCTACGAAATGGTAAATAAACAAACAAGAATATAAAAGTGTCTCCCTGGGTGACATGCGATAAACTGCGATAATTGACCTGACAGCAAAAATCTTTGAAATCAGCAAGCAAAGTATTTGTGATATCAATATTTATACCCTTGCAGAGGGTATTATAATTTCAGTCAGAAGTTTGCAACGCAGTGAAGGAGACATTTCCGACCCTATAAAGTATATATATTCTTGATCATCATGACTAGGAGAGTCATCTAGCCATGTCCGTCTGTCCGTCCGTCTGTCCTTCCGTTTCTACGCAAACTAGTCTCTCAGTTTTAAAGCTATCTGCATGAAACTTTCCCAAAAGTTGTCTTCCTATTGCAGGTAGTTTATAAAACGGATCGAGCCGGATCGGACGACTACAGCATATAGCTCCCATAGGAACAATCGGAAAAGAAAATAAAAAAAATTATAGCTTTGCTGTTTTTTAATTTTTTTTAGGTCTTCGACACATAGTAATGGTTAAATACTTCAGAATTACGGTTTAAATTTCATAAAAATCGGGCGACTATAGCATATAGCTCCCATAGGAACAATCGGAAAAATAAATGAAAAAAATTATAACTTTGCTGTTTTTTAATTAATTTTTTTAGTTCTTCGACATATAGTAATGTTTATTTCAGAATTACGGTTTAAATCATCATCATGATAATCGGACGACTATAACATAAAGCTCCCATGGAAACAAAAAAAATATTTAAAAAAAAAAATTTTTTAAATGCAACTTTTTTATTTTGTAATTTTTTTTAGAAATTCTTTTTGATTATTTAATTATTTGACAGTTCAGAATTACGCTTTTAATTTTATTAAAATCGGAAAACGATATCATATAGCTGCCATAGGAACTCAAATAATTGAGCTGCAAATCATCATATCATCATCAATGCTTTTAAACATACACGCAAGTAAATCATACTTTTATTGTCTTCAAGAGTATTTAATAGCTGCAAGGGTATATGAACTTCGGCTTGCCGAAGCTTGCTTCTTTTCTTGTTTTACTTAATTTTCAATTTGAAAATATGTATAGAACATTAGTTTAAAAATGTCACCTCTCTGTCAAGATCAACTTTAACACCATTTGTATACCATTGAAGCGGCTATTTCAGTCATCAGTCAGTCACTGAATAAGAAATTTCCGACCCGTTAAAGTTCTTGATCAGCATCACTAGGAGAGTGGATCAACAATCTATCTGAAACAGTGGATTGACATTGCAGAAGCTGAAGTCATCAACAACTATGACAACTACATACTACAACATAGCCAACGATGTCAGAATCCATGGAGTGCCGCATCTCAATATGTTTCATTATTCATAATCATATTACTCATTTACCACAGGAATCTCACTAATTCATGTCAGACCAAAGGGCTCTGAGAGTTTTGAGTGCATTCGAAGTAAGCACGAGCTTACTACTTTCCCAAAATATTCGAAATCGGCGAAAGATAATCTCTCAAACCGCAGCTTTCGCAACTAAATATCTAAACTTATCTAAATTATCTTAACCTTAAGTCTAGACTAGGGAAAACAGCCTTTTACATCCATCGGATATGATATTAAACGTTAATAATAGTTTAAGAGTTAATTAAGCGGGTATACTATTATGGAGTTTTTAATGGGTGCAAATCTGTACCTACAATTTTTTAAATTAACGCTCAAAGCCTAACTAAGAAAATGGATGAATTAACGTTAACTTTTGTAGGGTCAGATGTTGATATGGAATGTGTGTCTGAAACCTGTCTTACGACAAAAGTATGAGATTCCGTTGTTGCTTGTGATGTCATCTATATACAAGTAAACGATTAAATGCCAAATTAATTTCTAAGCATCCTCCTAAGAGTGGAAATAAACATAAATTTTTCAAAATTTGTGGCTTATGAAAGTACTAGTTAGTTGCATATATAGACCACATCGTGATATAGAATACCAAGGAATCATTGAACTTATTAATACAAAAATGTCTGGTGTTCTGTGATTTTATTTCAGTTGGATATCTTTACAGCAATATGTAATGTATGCATCGACTCTTAGACAAAATGTCATCTGTTAGACCTTATTATATGTTTTTTTTTTGTCACTAGTGCTACATATCCTTCTATATGACCAAATTTCTTGCCAATTTCTCTAAACATGACCTTATATTTATGACGTAAGATTTAATAACATTCTAGACCAATCTGACAACTATTTAAGGTATAGAGACTTTAAGAACCATGATTATAGACTACTTGAAGAAGAGTGGTATTTCTAATGTTTAAACGGTATCATTCTCTACATTTGTGTTTTAGAAAATGTTTTCTAAAATATAGGAACTTGTTTGCAGTTTTCTAAAAGTTAATGTGTATTTTTCTATGCTGCCTCTTCGCAATGCTCTTCATTTATAGGTGAATTCGACCTTGCTTTCAGCAAATAAGTACACCAGCCTCTTCTAAAATTAAGAAAATCGGCTTTAAGTTTAGATAATTTTTTACATATATAGAAATCTACTTTTCTATAATATAGAAATTTTCTTCTATTATTTATTTCTATGCCCTTATAACAAGAAAATAATTTTGTCTGACTTCTAAAGACTAGTAAGCAATAGCAATTTTATTGCATACTTTTCGCTTTGAATTCTTATATGAGATTTGTGCAAAATTAAATGTGATGCCAGTGTGGCGCAACCGGCTAATGCGAAACCAAAAGGTCCTCGGCTCACATCTAGGTTGAACCATGTTGGCCCAAAAATAGAGTGAGTTTGTTTTTCGTTTTACTTTCATAACATAATAATTTATCGTATTTCCTTTCCTTTTATTCCAATTACAACAAGAAAGGAAGCAAATTTCGGCAAGCCGAAGTTCATATACCCTTGCAGAAATTGCAAAAATTATAAATTCTGGAAAACATTAAAATTATCATTTACTTGAGTATATGTCTAAAAACATTGAAACTATGATAATTTGCAGCTCAATTATTCGAAAGTTCCTATGACAGCTATATGATATCGTTTTCCGTTTTAATAAAAATAAAAATGTAGTGCTGAACTGTCAAATTATTGATACAAAATAGAAAAGTTACATTAAAAAAAAATTTTTTTTTTACTGTTTTTATTGCTTCTATGGGAGTTTTATGTTATAGTCGCCCAATTTTGATGAAATTTAAACCGTAATTCTAAAATATTTAACCATTGCTATATGTCGAAGAACTAAACCAAAAATTAAGAAACAGCAAACTTATAATTTTTTACATTTGCTTTACCGATTGTTCCCATGGAAGCTTGTCCGATTCGGCTCGTTCCGACTAATGTACTACCTGCAATCGAAAGACAACTTTTGAAAAAGTTTCATGTAGATAGCTTTAAAACTGAGAGACTAGTTTGCGTAGAAACGGACGGATAGACGGACACGGCTAGATCGACTGATGCTGATCAAGAATATATATACTTTATAGGGTCGGAAATGTCTTCTTCACTGCGTTGCAACTTCTGACTGAAATTATAATACCCTCTGCAAGGGTAACATTACATTTAAATGTAACATTTCTACTTTGTAATTTAAAAAAAAAAAATTTTTTGACTTTTTAATAATTTGACAGTTCAGAATTACTCCTTTAATTTTATTGAATTGCCATAGGAACTATCGAATAATTGAGCTGCAAATCATAATAGCTTTATTGTTTATACCCTTGCAGAGGGTATTATAATTTCCTTTGCTATTTCTATGAGAGATGTTGTTTTTGGCCGACTGATAACTTGCGCGCCAATTCTATTGTTTTGCTTGGTTTGTTTTGATTATAAGCTTGGCACGCCTTTTTATTGTTGTTTGATTTTTGGTTGTAAATTTACGCGCGTAAAATATTGCCATTTTATTGGAAAAGTCAAGCCTCTTTCAATTGGCTTTTGATTGTGCTTCTGTGCGGTGGTATTTACAGTGCAAAACAGATAGTGTTTAAAAAAGTTCGAAGATTTGATTTACAATATAGCGTGCTTTTTTTTAAAACGCCTGTGTTGCTGTTTCGAGTGTTCCTGGTTATAACATCATCAATTCGCAAGTATAAAAGTAGTTTAATTTATCTAATTATTATTATTTTTTTATTAAATATATTGGGATAAATAGGCTTAAAAGCAATGCCGTACCCACTTTGAATTTAACATTGAACATTGGAGTTTCGTAAGCTTTGGGGCTTAACGTAAGAGCTATAATATGCGATCAAGGCTGAATAATAGAGCAGCATTCAAAAAATCGGTATTTAACATACACAAGCCGAGTTTTAATGTTAATGAAAAAGAAATATTTACAATATTTGATGCCCTACATTTTATAAAATCATTGACAAACATAAAATTGAAGAATAATTTAATTACGGCTGAAGGCAAAGTTTTTTTTTCATGTCTTTTCGGTCGCACCGTGCGCGCCTGTATGTTTTTCAGTTGAGTGCGTGTATGCACTTAATAAGGCCGGCGCAGAATGAGCGTTGCGGCTAGCTTTATTTGTGTACATAAGTTAACATTAACATTAACATTAACAGAGAAAGACAGAGATAACAGAGAAAAAATACTAGATTTACATGCTCAGGAAAGTGACCGTTCAACAGTCATAGAAAATACCAATAGGTAACAGCAACCTGTTAATAATTTTAGCCTGGCAGTGCCGTGCCCATTGTTTACATTTGAAATTGGTTTATGCTGTAGTTTTAAGTTCAGAAGTCAAAGTTATGGTTTTAATTGTTGTTTGCATTAAAGATATTTTAACTGTGTTTTCCTCTTGCTTTTCAGCATGGCCAGATCAAGCGTGTGGCAGCCGACTAAAAGTATCTTGGAGAACTTTAATATCCACAAATAGTACACTCCTGTATGCTCGCCACTGAAAAGTCCAGCCTTTATTCAAATTGGATTTCGGTTACCCATTCCTGTTATGAACATAGAATGAAAATGATAGATGGGTTTATTTTAATTTTACTGAGGAAAATCATTAAATGGCTAACAGATAAATGTACATATACGAAAGGAAAAGCTGTATC